ATGAATTGTTTATGGTTCCAAATTTTTTTTATGTTGTTAGATTGGCATTACTGTTTTCCATTTTGGCGCGGAATTTGAGTTACATCTGTTACTAAGATTGCTAAGGAGCAGTGCTGTTTTAGTTATGTCATATCTAGTGTGTATTGCGAATTACACAATGACCAAAAACATCGAACAAAGAGTTTGTTTAAATGAAACTAATTTTACGGATTTCATTGTGTATATTAACTTATTTCACATTACAGTCGGGAATGTAAAATAAGTTAATATACGCGATAAAATCCGTAAAATTAGTTTTATTTAAATGTGTAGTGTTCGCGTAAATATAAGAAATCATTATGTAAAGAGTTTGTTTTTCACTAATGGAATTTCCTGTTTGGAGTCACTGAAAATGTTACAAAAGGCTTACGGTGGATCGACTTTATCAAAAACACGTGCTTAGGAGTTGTTGCAAAGCGTTTAAAAGTGGTCGAGATATGATGGAAGATTTGACTCGCTCTGGCAGGCCATCAACTTCTATAACTCTTTTGGGGGACGACGCTGCTCGTGTCCGTTTTTTTTATAGGAGAGGGGGCAAATGCGCATGCAGCTCACCTGATGGTACCCAATCATCCAGATGGTATGGAAATACTTGAAAACTGACTCGCTACACGTTACCCCCGGGTAGTGCTAAACGAGCATCATAAATTCCGGCTGTAGGTTGTGCCCACTGGCTTTTCAGTTACTACCCACCAATGCAAAGTCTTGTCGCCAAATGTCTTTGTCGTGTTCCGGGATGATACTTGGTGAAGCCATATGTAGAAAGGGTCTGAACAGTAGCGTTGTGTATGTAAAACGGGTACGAATCGTCAGTTGTTTCTGTGTCGGGTGCTTGGTTGTGGAGGGTAGCGGGATCCGAAGCACGGTATTCCGCTAACCGACCACAGTAGTTAGAGGCCCAATTAATGAATTAGCTACTCATGAAATGTTGCCCCGCCAACTAGCCCCTTGTGTCAGTTAGCAATAGAGCGAGAGAACCCGATGGCAATCTCTGGGGGGGGGGGAGGTTCGAGCGTCTCCGCAGTCTCCAGATCAAATTCCAATGGACACAGTTACTCCAATAGTATCGTATGATTGCTAATACAATGCCTCGTTCAACTGCCACTCTCCATCCTTATTCACTCGCAAAATTTAATATGTGCATTAAAAAGAAAAGTAGTGCTAAACAGCGATTTCACATCCTCTCACTAAAAGTGCACCTCATTAATATTCGAGGATTGTACTCTGATCTCAGCGCAGTCCATCAACATTTTGAGAGTGAGAAGACTTACTTTTCTTGACGGAGACGCAATTGGATGTCCATTGAATGCGGCGTACCTTCACTATCCTGGATTCTCCATGGAGTACAAACTCAATCCACGTGCCAGAGTCTGTGTGAACGTCCGCAATGACATCTACTTCCAGCGTCTCTGTTACCTTGAAGACCCCACTTTTTCGACAATCTGGGTGATGATAGATACAGGTATTGATAAAACCCTTTTTGCCTGGGTCTATTGATCGCACAGCGGTGACCAGGAGACAACACGATTATTTGATCACCTTAGTGAGGCTACTGACGTAGCACTAAACCAGTATCTTATTTCACATTTGGTCCTTCTAGGGGACTTTTACGCTTGTCACCGAGACTGGGTGTTCCCATACCAGAAAACTGACCATGCTGGAAGAGAAGCGTGGAGTTTTGCTTTAATGATAGGTCTTTCTCAGCTGGTAAAGACGAGGGTAGCCGATGTAGATGGTCACACAGCAAATTGCTTGGACCTTCTGCTGGCTGCCGAACCAGACAGGTATGAAGTATAGGTTACCTCCCCTTTAGGTACATCTGACCACTGTCCCAAGGTGTTCGATGAATATGGCGGTATAAGTCAGCTGATTGTGGTGAGATGCGACATTTTTTTGTATCCTGTCCTTCGCAGGAGGTATGTTACTCTTCTGCGGATCCGTCAAGCTGCGTGGTTGCGATAACGGATGCGCTACATCAAGCTATGGAGTATTTTATCCACTTTTCTGACGCTCGCACTGGTAGCAAAGCTCGCCCATGGTTTAATTCTAAATGTGCCCAAGCTGAAAAGCGCAAGCATTTAGCGTACCTATCCTGGGTTGATGCTCAAATCGGTAAAGCCAAAAAAAAAATGTTAACTCCAAGAAGAGAACTTTCGACTAAGCTGCCACGTCCTACAAAAAGCACGAAGGAATGCTAGACTCGATCGCATAAAACATATTGACGCAAAACTCCCTCCCAGACCATTCGGTACTAGAGCTTTTTAGTATCTCGCCAAAGTGGTCAAGACAAACTTCTGTCTGCCTACACGGTCTCCGCTGGTAAAACCGTATGCCACACTGGCGCATACGGCTAAAGAGAAAGCGGACCTGTTCGCGTCTCTTTCTCTGTCTAAAATTTACGTCTGGACAGTAGCAACAACGTTCCATTACCTCACTACAGGACCTCTATGTCGGAAGTTTGTATAATAAATAAGGAGATTCTTAAAACCTTGCGGTGTCTAGACGTGAATAAAGCTAGTGGATATATGGTATACCAGCTATACTTCTAAAGGATTATGCACCTGAGTTTTCTCCTGTGCTAACACGCTTGTTCGGCCTCTCATTTAGGACTGAAACAGTGCCAAAATCCTGGAAGCTGGCTAACATGCAGCCTGTTCCAAAAAAAAAGGCAGCCGTGCCGATCCTGCAAATTATCAGCCACTCTCAATTACCTCCATAATCTACAAGATTATGGAGCGTATATTGAACGCCCGCTTAATGGCATACATGTACATGGCAGTGGAAAACTCTTGATTTCTCGAAGGACTTTGACAGAATTTCTGATTGAATGGGTAAAGGACTTTCTGAGTGAACCTTCTCTCCGGGTCGTCGTCGATGGCTGATTATCCAATTCTATGGCAACTAACGCCGGTCTTCCTCAGGGATCCGTTCTCTCCGCAACTCTCTTCCTGCTGCATATTAAGTATCTGATTATGCCCTTATATATGGGTATGCAGAATAGCACAGTTATGTAGAGATATCAACCAAGTCCTCGGACCAGTCGGGATAAAATCCAGTCCGAAAGAGAAGCTATAGTATAGCGTATGAATTTTACATTACAGGCGGTCTCCGAATGAGGTGATGTCAATCATGTGAAATTCAACGCCTCCAAAACATAAGCGTGTCTCTTCACTGCAAAAAGGAGCCAGCTCACTTTGGCTCCTTCTTTCCGAAATGTATCACTGGAATATACCGACCGCCTTCAGTTGCCAGGGTTTGAGATATCTTCAAATCTTAACTTCGGGTGGTTCATTAAGTCCAAGGCCAAAGCAGCTGCAAGGAAGCTGGGAGTCCTTGCAAAGGTGCGGCGATACTTCACGCCGGGACAGCTGCTTACTTTATATAAGGCATAAGTCCGGTCGTGCATGGAGTATTGCTGCCATATATGGGCTGGTGCTGAAAATGCCATTTAGTGACCTGAATTCCGTTAAAACCTATCTTACCAGCCTCGAACACAGACACAAAGTAACCAGCCTTTCGGTTTTCTACAGGATGCATTTTGGAGAGTGTGCGCAGGAATTGCATATTTAGTTCCTCCCTCTTGCTTCCACCATCGGACAACCAGACGTTCGGCCTGTCTCCGCCTTTTTTTTGTTGACTTATCACGCATTCGAACTAAACGGTTTGTTACGTCTTTCATCACGCATACAGCAAAGAAGTGGAATAAGTTACCAGCATCTGTCTTTCCATCCGATTACAATGTGGGTGTCTTCAAGGCAAGACTGAAGAGGCTTTTGTTAAGTCCGTGCGCTTCACCATCTTAGGCCACATCACCATCAAGTGGGATTGTAGATGAGCGCTGGCTTTGTAAGATATAAAAAGAAATTGGTGAAGTTAACATCGCAAAAGTGAAGTAAATAGTGCCTCATGAATCGATCCGTACTGTTATAATGAATGGGTATGAAACATGTTGCCGCTCAGCCAGTCCCAAAAGACCTGAATTTTCTCCACAAACTCAATCGGGTAAGAGTCGCTGAGGACACGCTAAAACGAGTCATTTCCGATACAACATTCATTAAACGCTTTTTACTGGTAACGAGAGGTGGGTTTACGAGTATGACAGACAAAATAGTCAACAAGCGTCGAAGTGGCGCCTTCCAAATGAACTGAAACCAAAAAAAAACACGCCAAAGACCATCAAAATTCAAAGTCATGTTGACCGTTTTCTTTGACTATCGCTGTGTTGTGCACTTGAAATTCTTGCCGGGAGGACAAACGATAAATAAAGAATATTATTGGAGCATTATGCGGCCTTTATGACAGCAAATTAGACGAAAAAGGCCAGATTTGTGGATAGAAAATTCTTGCATTTTGCACTACCATAATGCACTTTCGCACGAGGCCATTATTGTGAACGAATTTTTGACCAAAAACTCAACAAATGCCATCGAGCAACCACCTTATTCATCAGATATGGCTCCAGCCGGCTTTTTTTGTTTTCCCTAAACTAAAATTACCACTTTGTGGCACCCGTGTTCATGCGGTAGAAGACATAAAGGAGAATTCGCAGCGAGAACTGAACTCAATTCCGGAAAAAGCGTTTAAAATGATGGATTATTCGTTGGAGGAATTGTATCGTTTCTGAAAGAGCATATTTTGAAGATGATAAAATAAACTTGTATGAATAACTAACATTTTGTTTATTATTGATCTTTTCCCGATACTTTCTTGACAGAGTAGTCTTAGTTACCATGCTTGGTAAAGGCAGTTTTTATTATTTTGAGTTGTAATCATGGTAGAAGCTGCTACCCATCTCCCATTTCATTTTTCTCTGTTGCCCATTACGAAACCAAGGGGATGAAATGAGGTAGTATATTATCTTATGCCATCACTACAGGATCTGTGTGTATTTTCATCCATATCTAATATGGCGATTATTAAAACTTATAAAAGACAACGTATATTAAATAAATTTTATTTACCTGCACTTATAGAGTTATCTGTAGCGGATGGCGACTTCGATATGGCGAACATTAGGAACGCCAAAGTAATTTTCTGCAAACATTCGGCTATGCACATGTCGTTTGTTTTCTAACTAGATTCGATTTACCTTGATAGGCGATTGAAATATGATGTAATACTTATTGAGAGTGTGCACTTATATGATGTACAAATCCGAAATCTTCATTCGCTGCCAGGATCTGCAACAAATTATTTCCTCGTTATGTATTTAAAATAACAATTGTTTAATACTTCGTTCTTCAACGAAATATGATATAAAGGTATTAAACATTAGTTACATTATAATATTATGTAGTAATGATGCTTAAAATGAATGAATTACATAATTGGTAATAGAATTATCGTCTTAAGATAATTTAAATTTATTAATTTTATTATTTATTTATTTATTTATTTCGAACAGCAAGGATCATAGGGTAATATTACATTCATTCAAGTTAATTCTAATACTAAAATTATTACTCATTACTCAAATTAATATATGAAATGAATAAGTATTCATAATAATATTGAAAATATAATAATTATTTAATATTAACAAAATAATATAAATCAATGTAAACGTAACAATGTTTTACCAAATAGAACATTTAAACATATACCGCTTTCGGTTAATTTGTAAATTAAAAATAATGTTAATTATACACAATGCGATGGAAGTCTTAAATTTGTACGATGTTGTTCGCAGCGTAAAATATCTTCTTCGTATTAAAGGCACAAATTACACTCTACTTGAATTATATAACAGAATTAATTATTAAAATACGAATTTTGACGGAAAAGTGTCAAACATTAGTGGTAAGGAATTATAAAATTTACGTTGCGAATAATATACTACAGTTACCTAATTCCAAGGGGTTCTTAAATTTACCATTAGGCACCATTAGAAAAACTGCGTTTGCGAGTAATTTACAAGCTATTTTTAGGGTTTCATAGTTACACAAAAAGGAACCCTTATTGATTCGCCATATCCGTCCGTCCGTTTAGCTCGGAGACCTTAGGTGCTACAAATCTGCGAAGTTACATATATATATATATATATATATATATATATATATATATATATATATATTAATCACATCCAAAAAACTATGTCCCATACAAGTACCTGAATGGAGGATGATTCTTTTGTCCGTTTATTCCATCATGTGGGGTATCGTTGGATAGGTCTTTTAAAATTACGGGGGGTGTGGAACAACATCTTTTTGATTCCGGGGACCGTTTGCGAAATATTTAGCTTAAAGTGGTATTTTTCATTAGAGTTGTGTAACCTCCCCTTTCCTAACTAAACCACTGTTTCTGGTTTGCAAATTATACACTATAGTAGTTTATATAATGAAGTTAAAAGCAAAACTATCACAGATAAGTAGAATTAAAAAGTTAACTAGTAACAGTTATAAAATGCACTCGTATTAGTAAACATTTCGTTGGAACTCCATAGAGAATGACCTAAAACTAGCAGCATTATAACTTTGTAATGTTATTGTAAATTGTCAAAAATATTGGTAAATCCAATTGTGCTTGTCTTAAGTGCATTAAAAAAAAATACGTATAATATGATCTACGAATAACGAATGATCACAACTAATTCTCCTCGTCGAGGAGTTCCAGTAGCAGTTATCAAAGCACACTTTGAAGTCACTCTATCGAGACTGGAGCTAAGGCCAGGTCAGCAAGTAACTAACAAAACGAAGCTAATTTCGGCACATCTAAATCTACTTGTCAAGGAGTTCTAGTAGCAGTCTTCAAAGTACACTTTCAAGTCATTCTATCATGTCCAGAGGTAAGGTTTCATCGTTTGCGAATCCAAACACAGATGCGTTTTCAACCGTGAGGACTAAGATGGAATGACTCTTTTTCAGTGAAAAGATTCTCCGGTCTCTACACTTACAATACCAAACACAGCAGCATTAAGCTGCTATTTTATGCTGGTATTCTGTGAGAGCGTGGTCCTTAATCGGTCGAGCCGACCCATTCGCTCTACAACTATACAATAAAAAAGCTATAAATTTACCTCTGAATATAAGATCTGAATATAAGACAATAGACTACCCCAGGAGGGTACCAGTACCCCTGGAGAATCCCTCGCTGAGCATCCACGACCATGTTATTCCAATCCTGAGCGTGGGTGCTCAGGCTGCCCCGCGTATTCTGGGGGGGGGCAAAATTCCGCTCAAAAACAAAACTGCTCGGGGCAAGCTGAGCAACAATACCAAGGCGACCCCTGCCACGCTATCCGTGAATTTCTGCAACATCAGGGGACTTCACTCTAACCTAAACGCCGTCCACTACCATCTCGAGACGGCGAAGCCGGCCTTGCTCTTTTTGACCGAGACGCAGGTTTCCTCTCCGACTGATATTTCGTATCTCTCCTACCCGGGGTACAAATTGGAGCACTCCTTTGTGCCTCGGGCTGGAGTTTGCGTGTATGTTAGAGAGGACATCTGTTCTCGACGCCTCGGCAGTCTTGAAGGTTCAGGCCTGTCCATCCTTTGGCTACGCGTAGACAGCGACGACCATCCGCGCGTCTACGGGTGCCTCTATAGGTCCCATAGCGGTAATGCCGAAACAGACCGACTCATCGACCACGTCCAAATGGCTACAGATTCCTTGCTACAACAGGTCCCATCCGCAGAGATCGTGATCCTTGGCGATTTTAACGCCCACCATGCCGAATGGCTCGGTTCACGTTTAACCGATCATGCGGGGAGATCTGTTTATGACTTTGCCTTGGCATATGGTCTGACACAACTGGTTACTTCGCCTACGCGGATTCCAGATGTGGAGGATCATACACCTTCCCTGTTGGACCTTCTGCTGACCTCTCATCCGGACGGATATCAGGTTTCCGTCGATGCCCCTCTCGGCTCTTCGGACCATTGTCTGATCCGGAGTATGGTGCCACTCACGCTCCCTTCGCGGTTGCGTTCTGCAGGTTGCCGCCGTGTTTGGCATTACAGGTCGGCGGATTGGGACGGAATGCGGTCTTTCTTTGCATCCTACCCATGGGGGCGGGTTTGCTTCTCGCCGGATGATCCCAGTGCTGTTGCTAACTCTGTCACTGATGTGGTGCTACAGGGAATGGAACTATTTATTCCATCATCTGTGGTACCCATCGGAGGCAGATCTCAGCCTTGGTTTGGTCGCTCCTGTAAGACTGCATTGCGCAGTAAGCAGGAGTGTTATCAAGCCTGGGCTGCGGCTTCGGTGACTCGGGATGTAAACACCAGCACACTTAAAAAGAAGTATAACTTCGCCTCCAGGTCCTTCAAAAGAGTTATTGCCAAGGCAAAGTCAGAGCACATAGGCAGAATTGGCGAGAAACTAGTTCGCCTTCCTTCGGGAACCCGTGCATTCTGGTCTCTCGCCAAGGCTGTCCAAGGGAATTTCTGTAAGCCATCACTACCATCTCTGCACAGGGAGGACGACTCACTGGCCCAAGACGCAAAAGACAAAGCCGACCTTTTAGGCTCCCTTTTTGCGTCCAACTCGACTCTTGATGACGGGGGGAAAATACCGCCGACCATCCCGCGGTGTGAGTGCTCCATGCCGGATGTGCTATTCTCACAGCGCTCAGTTCGCAAAGCACTTCTCTCCCTGGACATCCAGAAGTCGAGTGGGCCTGACGGAATCCCCCCAATTGTGCTGAGGACGTGTGCTCCGGAGTTGGCACCGGTCCTAACGCGTCTTTTCCGGTACTCCTACTACCAAGGCGTAGTCCCGAATTCATGGAAGACAGCTTTTGTCCACCCGATCCCAAAAAAAAAAGGCGACCGCTCAGACCCGTCCAACTATAGGCCTATCGCGATCACCTCCTTGTTCTCCAAAATAATGGAATCCATTATTAACTGCCAGCTCATCCGGTACCTTGAGGATCACCAGCTGATTAGTGACCGCCAATACGGTTTTCGTCGGGGTCGATCAGCTGGTGATCTTCTGGTCTACCTGACCCATAGATGGGCGGAGGCAGTAGAGTCCAAGGGGGAGGCGTTGGCCGTTAGTCTGGACATTGCGAAGGCCTTTGATCGGGTTTGGCACAAAGCGCTTCTTTCAAAGCTGCCTTCCTATGGGCTTCCCGAGAAATTGTGCAATTGGATCACCAGCTTTCTTGCAGATCGGAGCATCAAGGTCGTTGTAGACGGTGCATGTTCTGACTACAAGCCTATTAACGCTGGTGTTCCACAAGGCTGTGTGCTATCACCAACGCTGTTTCTTCTGCATATCAATGATATGTTGCTAACTGGTAACATTCATTGCTATGCGGATGACAGCACTGGTGATGCTCTATACACCGGCCGGGCCAATATTTCTCGGGAAAACGTCGCCGAGTACCGGAACAAACTTGTGTCTGAAGTCGAGTCTTTGCTGGACAAAGTCTCGGATTGGGGGCGACTAAATCTAGTCCAGTTTAATCCTCAGAAGACACAAGTTTGCGCGTTTACCGCTAAAAAGAACCCCTTTGTCGTATCTCCTCAGTTTCAAGGCACTCCCCTTCTTGCCTCAGCCAGTATCGGTATCCTCGGAGTCGACATATCGAGTGACGTGCAGTTTCGTGGTCACTTGGAAGAGAAGGCCAAATTGGCCTCTAAAAAGCTTGGCGTGCTCAGCAGAGCGGGACAGTATTTCATGCCGGCACACCGCCTGCAACTTTACAAGGCGCAGGTTCGGCCTCACATGGAATACTGTTCCCATCTCTGGGCAGGGGCTCCCCAGTGCCAGCTCCTTCCACTTAACCGCATCCAGCGCAGAGCGGCTCGAATCGTCGACGACCGAGCCCTTTCCGATCGGCTCGATTCATTGGCACTGCGAAGAGATGTTGCATCTCTTTGCATTTTCTTTCGCATCTACCATGGGGAGTGCTCTGAGGAATTGTTCGGATTAATCCCAGCCGCCAAATTTCACGAACGCACATCGCGGCAGAACTCCCGATACCATCCACACCATCTGGATGATTGGCGGTCCACCACTGTGCGATTTAGAAGATGTTTTCTTCCTCGCACAACTTCCTTGTGGAATAGTTTACCACCAGCGATTTTTCCGGACCGATACGACTTAGG